CCTCAGCTGATGGGGCCCCCGCCACAGCTCGCTGCATAAAACGCCAGCAGCAAAGGGGCCCCCAGTACCCTCTTCTCCTTCTTGGGGGGGCCCCCAGGGGGCCCCCAAAGATAGACAGCATCGGAGAGAAGAACCAAAAGAAGATAATGCACCTTGCTGCTGCTGCTGCTGCTGCTGCTGCCGCAGCCGCTGCAGCAGCAGCAGCAACGGTAGTAGCAGCAGCAGCAGGAGGATGGTCAGAGCCAAGAGCAGCAGCAGCAACAGTCGCAACAGCAGCAGCAAGAGTATAGATGCAATAACAACGCCAGCAACAGCGGCAGCAGCAGCAGCAGCAACATCACCACCACCAGCAACAATACTATCAGCACCACCAGCAGCAACAGCAGCAGCAGCAGCAGCAGCAGCAGCAGCAGCAGGATTACGTATAGATAGACTAGCAGCTTCATCAGTAGCAACAATAACCAGTCCTTGTGTGTTTAGGGGGATGTCAGGGAGAGGAAAGAATATAGCTTTTCTTTCTGCTGCTGCTGCTGCTGCTGCTGCTGCTGCTGCTGCAGGAGCTGCTACTGCTGCTGCTGCTGCTGCAGCAGCAGCAGCAGCAGATACATACGCACGCTGCAGTGCATCCCCCAATGCAGCAGAAAGGCTGGGGGCCCCCCCATGGGGCCCCAGCGACCATCCGGGGGGTTTATAAACAACAAACCATCGATCAGTTAGCTGTCCATACACCACAAGCCTGCTGCTGCTGCTGCTGCTGATGCTGCTGCTGCTGATGGTTCTGCTGCTGCTGTACATGCTGGTGGGTCTAGGAGCTATGCTCCTGCTGCTGCTGCTGCTGCTGCTGCTGCTGCTGCTGCTGCTGATGCGCCCAGTGTGGACGAGCGGCAACCATTTGCTGCAGCTCCCCGCATTGCTGCTGCTGCTGTTGCTGCTGCTGCTGCTGCTGCTGTTGCTGTTGCTGCTGCTGCTGCTGCTAGCGATACAACGGGGGGCTCTCGCCCGGCGGGTGGGGGGCCCCCCTGGGGGCCCCCCAGGGGGCCCCCATAAACGTAGTTGCTGCGGAGGGTACAGTCGCTGCCAGGGGGGCCCCCCAGGGGCCCCTA